AAACCGCTTGCTTTCACGCGCGACGCTGCACTTGATTCGTTGTCCGAACATCGTCCGTTGGACCTCTCTCCAGACCGTGTTCTTGCCAAGGGAAATCCACTGCATTGCACTTTGCGTCAATGGTGGTAGCGGAGCGTGCTCGTGATGTCCACGTCAGGCGATGATGCTGCGAGTTTACCACGGTCGGGCGCCGATCAAAGTGCCATGGCAGCCACGCCCGCGTTTGCAATCAGATCGTCTCACAGGAGTCGATGTCCTTGCATATGAACGCCAAGCTGCCGCCGATCCTCAATGGTCGTGTTGTTGGTTCCGTTACGAAGAGGCCGTAGACGATTGGTTGCCAATTTCCAGCATCGAGACAAGCCCAATGTTTCGGTTCGCTTCTAAAGACCATATTAACTGGCGATGCCACGATGTATTGAGAGCTTCTAGATAAATGATCGTCTTAGAAATCCTGACAATGGAGTTAACTACTTTCTGCAGACTTTAAGAGCGTATTTCGTCCAGGGAGCTCAGAACGTTTTCCTCTATCGAGTCTTGAATTTCTTCAATCACCGTAGAGGCATGCAACCAAGAATTCGTGACATTCATGAGCAAGTTTGAGATTCTCTGACGCCGGCTTCGTGCTTCATGGATGGACACTGTGCCCGCACCTGAACTGACTCAGAAGTTCCACGACAACCTTGCCGATTACAATCATGCAGGCAACGATGGAGCTCGCGCCCTTCAGATCACGCCCACTGGATGGCTGAATGCAACACCGCAGCGGCGTAGCCACTTCCAGAAAGGCTGCCTGAATCCTGTTGGACTGATAGAACACATGAGAGCCAGCGCATTTTGACCAGTGGCACAAGATCTGTCAGGACCGACTTTCCATTCACCAACAATTTTACAGCTTTGTTCATCATCCAATGAGAGCTTTCGGATGGCCAACGTGAATTGACTGGTGAGCCTCAGAGCAAGGCATTTCATTTCATTTCATTCGCGTCCGTTCGAAAGCCTGTTGTCAGCGGCTAAAGCCAAAAGCTAAATTAAGCCCAGCACCTCAGAGCAACAGAGCATTGCGGAGCTCTCTGACTGTACAGCGCCGAACGACCAGATCACCCGCGGGTGTTGCCACTTCCGGGCAAAAAGGGGGTCCGGACACGACGCAAACCATCCAAATCTTTCTGTAGGCCTTGATAGGGCGGCCGGGACGGCCGTATGGACTTGCCATGCCCTTTG